CAGTGGTGTGTCGCACATTGAAGACGACGTCGTAGCAGTGCTTGGTTTGTACATGGAATTCATTACAGTTCATCAGAAAAACTGGCAATAATTAATATGCACAGGTATTCTAATAAACTGAATTTATTTATATATATATATAATAATTTGCATGCTTTTTTCATGTCTTTACATTACTTTCTGTTTTCCAATGAAATGCCTAAACATCTTTATTTCAGTTTTTTGCCTGTTTTATTTCTTCGGTTGTTAAACACGATCTTTGCTGTGTTTTGCTTTTGTTAGTTTTATGGGTGTGTTGTTCCTTTCGGACCATTTATTTATTTGACTATCTGTCCACTGTGAATAAAGTCAGTATAAATCAGTTGAGGGATATACTTAAACTATGGATATTTACTCATCATCATTGGATGTTAAAAAAAAAACTTAGAAAAATGTTAATGTTTAGGTATAAAGTAAATGTATATAATTTGGATTTGCATGTACTGCATAGTTAGATTAATCTTACATATGCATAAACAAGTATAAATTCTAATATTATATACATATTAGGACAACAAATATTATTGTATTATCCCCTAACATGGGATAATACAATAATATCACATGATAAGGGACCCCTTGATATCCCTTGATATTTTCTTACAATGATATTGTTATTAATATCATTATGTAATGCCAAAAAACTTAAAAATATTTGACAAGATATGCATAAAAAGGTAACAAAGGAAAAAATTAAGTTTAAAGTTCCATGCTGGAAGATATCTTATATTTACCCTATACATATGCATGTACTTATTATACAAATGTAAAAATTAATACATTTAAATGCCCTAAATACAATACTGGTTTTGTCTATAGGAACATTACAAAGGAACTGCATTGATGAACGTAAAATATGTTATGTGGTAAACTGGAAAAGGCTGTATAAACCATGTACAATATATCAAATAAATTATATATTGTTTTCAGAAATATTATTTTCTTCATTAAGAAAAATCAACTAAAATAAGTAACATAAGATATAACTTATAGATAGTTCTGACATTGGACATAAATACTGTTATTATTGCCTCCTATTGTAAACCACAATTTTAACAAAATAAACTATCTAAAAATTAATTTTAGACATTTATTATTAAATACTAGCACTGCCATGTTCTTCTGTTTTAAAAAGGTAGTGATGGATTATTTTACCCTACAAACTATAAATAACAAAGTAGGATTAAAATATCTATAGTATTTTTTAACTATCCATTTATCCAGTCTTTTCACCGTTACATTTAATAACAATTTAGTGAAAATATCCATCTTCATGTATTCATGTCATATAGTACAGTTTAATTAATGTATTGTGCGTTATGGGATATTAGTTTTTGGAATGTGAGCCTTTATTTTAAATATTGCTCTTGAGATTTGCTTGGATATGTCTGTCAGCCATTCTTTTCTGCATGTCTATTTTTTTTGTTGTCGTAATATCACTCAAAGCATTCAAAATATATTTACAATTTATACATGTAATATTACCAAGTTCTGGTTTCTAGATAGAGTAAAAAGGAATGATTGTGTTAAATCATTTCAGTATATAGCACATTATGTTTCAAACTACTAGAAAAAAATTTAAAAACAAAATTTTTGTGTAGGATATTCCACAACAATATGGACTAGGAGAATGAATTTATATTACATCTGCATAAATGTAGCTGCAACAATATATAAAGAAAATGCTATAATTAGCAAATCTGCAGGGAGAAAGCAGAGTGTGCTATACCTAGGCTTAACCAAAGCTTGAAAGATAAAATCTTATCTCCTTGTGAGAACTTTTAAATACATTTAAATAATTTAGTGTCAAATATGATAATTGTTAATTAATAAAAGCAAAAGAATATTAGAAACTATTTTTAACGGAGCATTATCCAAACTACTAGAGTATAGTGGATGCTTGAACAACAAAGAAAAAATGTCTGCGCCTCAAAAGTACAGGAATGACAATAAAGTGCTAATTGCAATAATATACAGTAGGCGTGGGTAAATAGAATATTCCAAAGCAATCTTAAAAATAGTCCAAAATAGTCTAGAAATAATTATGAGTACCCCTTTAAAATGAATTTTGCAGTGCAATAGGAATTCTTGGGTAGGCAGTAGGTCCTTTTGTCAGTGAATATAATGGGTAGAAGATTTCCTAGTGTAATCCATACATATATGCAAGACAAGAAAACATGAAATCCAATAGTGCAATATCTCAACTTAAATAAGTAATAGGTAATAAAACATCGGTAGCTTACTCACATTTGGTGGAGCTCCATTTTTGAAAGCGTATAGGGATATAATCCCCACTTACAGGATGTGTTGGTGAGTGTCTGTAGAAGATAGTGTCGTGGGACCCAAAATGACAAAAATATGGAAAGCAGATAATACTGCTCTCTATTACAATAAAATTGGTAAAATATTAAGAATAGAAAAATGCTCACCAAATAGGGTTTTTTCATATGGAATAATATACAGCCTGGCTACATGAGGTATATATAGGTACAAACATAGTTATAAATTGCGCCAAAAGATGACCTGACAAGCCAATCAATAATACTTAAAAGTTTTTAAAAGACAACAGGAGAGATATAACATTAACATGTATTAATATACGCCTTTAATACTTGTGGACAAATAAAAAGAATGAGGGTTGTAGGTGAAATTATAAGTATCTAAACATAGATTACGTGGCTTTTGAAAATGAGTGATCCAAAATGCCCACCCACTATGTATTGTTGGGGCTGTAGTTCTAAATTAGATTATCCAAAATAGTCGCCTGGTTTGTAGTTCTGGGAACTGAATTTGGGTTTGGCCACATAGCTAAGCAGTGAAACCCTAACCCAAATTTAGTTCCCAGAACTACAAACTGGGAGGCCATTTTAATTAATCTGATTTTTAATATTTTACCAATTTTATTGTAATAGAGCACTATTTTCTGCTTCCAATATTTTTGTCATTTTGGGTTCCACGACACCATCTTCTATGGAGACCCACCAACACATCCTGTAAGTGGGGATTATACCACTATACACGAGCAAAACTGGAGCTGGTAATAGCTCCACCAAATGTGAGTAAGCTACCGTTGTTTTATTACCTATTACTCATTTAAGTTCACATATTTCACTATTGGATTTCTTGTTTTCTTGTCTTGCATATATGTATGGATTACACTAAGAAATCTTCTACCCATCATATTCTCTGACACAAGGACCTACCACCTACCCAAGAATTCTTATTGCACTGCAGATTTCCTTTCAAAGGGGTACTCATAATTATTTTAGACTATTTTGAACTATTTTTAAGATTGCTTTGGACTATTTTATTTACCCACACCTACTGTATATTATTGCAAATAGCACTTTATTGTCATTCCTGTACTTTTGTGGCACAGCCATTTTCTCTTTGTTGTTCTTGTTGATCTCCTGAAGGGTTTAGAGGGATCCCCTGCTTTTGGTTTGCTGCATTCATTTTGATACATTTGCGCTAAACCTGCTCCATTTTTTCCCATAGTGGATGCTTTTCCAAAAGAAGCAAGTGGGTCAACATTCCACCCCCCAGATGTTGTGGCAAATAAAAAAATGAAATCTACCATTATTTTACTTGTGTTAGAAAACAACATGCTATGTCTGTCATGGTAAATTCTGCAATTTACTCTCTTCCCCACCATATTGATAGCTGGAGGTACTGCTAAGAGACTAAACAACTTAAAATGTTGAGCTTTTTTTTTTTTTAATACCCAATTTCCTGGGTATAGACCTCTCAGACATGCTTAGTCTGCTGTAAAGTAATTTCTGACATAACACATACAGGCCTGGATGAGAGCATCAGGAAGTGGTTTAAAGTGGTTTGTGTTTCCCAAATATGCTAATCTATAGGTGTACAACATTGAACATAGCATGATGTCTCATCAGGTCAGGGTTTGAGTACTGTGGTTAATTGAGGAGCGCTTAACACATCAGAGGGCAGAGTTTATAACCCCACTATCTTTAAAATGAATCAGTCTTTACTAGAAGGCAGTATATTCTTTGTACATGGAGTTTATTAGTTTATTAGAAAAATCTGCAATAATTAATAAGCTTAAGTTTTTTTATAAATGTAATTTTTGTTACATATTAAAGGAACACTATAGTCACCTAAATTACTTTAGCTAAATAAAGCAGTTTTAGTGTATAGATCATTCCCCTGCAATGTCACTGTTCAATTCACTGTCATTTAGGAGTTAAATCACTTTGTTTCTGTTTATGCAGCCCTAGCCACACCTCCCCTGGCTATGATTGACAGAGCCTGCATGAAAAAAAAACTGGTTTCACTTTCAAACAGATGTAAATTACCTTAAATAATTGTATCTCAATCTCTAAATTGAACTTTAATCACATACAGGAGGCTCTTGCAGGGTCTAGCAAGCTATTAACATAGCAGGGGATAAGAAAATCTTAATTAAACAGAACTTGCAATAAAGAAAGCCTAAATAGGGCTCTCTTTACAGGAAGTGTTTATGGAAGGCTGTGCAAGTCACATGCAGGGAGGTGTGACTAGGGTTCATAAACAAAGGGATTTAACTCCTAAATGGCAGAGGATTGAGCAGTGAGGCTGCAGGGGCATGTTTTATACACCAAAACTGCTTCATTAAGCTAAAGTTGTTCAGGTGATTATGGTGTCCCTTTAACTTGCATACTTTTTCATGACTATATATTATTTTCTGCTTTTCAGTAAAGTGGCTGAAACATCTTTATTTACGTTTGTTTTATTTATACTATTAACCACCATCTTTGCTGTGATTTGCTTTTGTTGTTTTTGGGATGTACTGTTATTGGTTTACTATGACTTTTGGACCACTGATTTGTTTGACTATCTATGTTCTCTGTGACTAAAGCAAGTCAATAGAGGTCAGATGAGCCATCTCTAATTAAAGAGGGATACACTTAATATAATATTATTAACAATATAAAAATAAATTAAAAAGAAAACCAATATTACTATAAAATATTTTATTAAAATGAGAAACAGGATTACAAAAATACAAATATTCAATGATAATACAATTTTTTACAACATTTACAAGATGCAAGTCCTACCACAATACTTTTACTTAAAAAAAGCTTGCTTTTCAAATCTTTCTCTTGTGGTCTTGTAATCACATACATATCCTTGTACTCATTTATTAATCAAGAATAAAAAAAAAAAATACAACTTAGAAAACAATGTGGTGTACCTTGGTAACTACAAGTAACATCCACAGAAATAAACTGGCACATTTTAACAAAAACATTAGTAAGAAACATAGAAACATAGAATGAGACGGCAGATAAAAACCATTTGGCCCATCTAGTCTGCCCATTTTTTTTCCGAAATACTTTTAAGTCACTTTTTTGTATTTTTATTTATTGGTTTTGAATTCCAAATACACATTTTTCTAGATTTAAAACTGCTGTAAAAATGTGGTTAGCTAGTAAAAGTACATGTAATTCACGTCAAAGGCTGAAAGTTTATATCAATGTTAAATTTTATAAATATTAAATGTTTATGTGAATAACATGTTTTATCCCAATAGCAATTTTTATTCCATTGATTAATTTATAAAAGTTATCTACTTAATTGCCATAACTCATCTCAATGCATTTGACAAGAAATCCAATAAGAAACAAAATCTTATATGAAAATTTACAGTGTATCTCTAGTGTAAATCCATGAAGGAATGAATGAACATTATTGTATCTGTTATATGATTTCAAATTAATTTCATCTGTGTTTTGTCTTGTGTGTTCTTTCTCTGTTACAGTACTCAACGATTTGCTACTTTTTATATCTTTGCAAGGACAAAAAACACAATTTATTTTTTATAAGAAATTAATGTTCATATGCTTGATTTGTAAGCAAGTCTATTAAACCATTCAGTCTTATATATAAATGTATTTTACACATGCCAATCATTTATAAACGGATGAATGCTTTTTACCTTGAGAATTCTGTTATGTTATTCCTGAAAGATTGATTTTCTCTATACATCACATCCAGCCCTTTGTGAATTTTTCTCCTAATGTACCGTATTGAAAGTATCAGATGGGTAAAATAAACTAGCAAGGCTATTCACTAAAATGAGAATTCAAAGTGAATTCAGAGAGAATTTCAAATTTGAGTACAAAAATCCAAATTGAAAAAATTATTTAACTCCGCTTTGCTTCTATTTTAGATACTTTTGCCTTAAATTTTAAATTCACTTTTAATTCTCACTTTAGTAAATAACCCTGTATACGTATATATTTTTTATTTATCTACATCAATGCACACAGTCAAATATATACACACTTTCACATTTAGCTATATTTGGGAGCCAGTTTCAAATAATCATTGCTCTCCATTATTTAAAAAAACAAAAAAATAAACATTCTGTAAATTATTTAATTGTATCATTGATAAATTAATTTTTATATGACTTACTTAGGAGGCCAATGATTATGTGTGTGTGCGCGTGTGTGTGTGTGTCATTTGAAAGAATATGACAACTAAAAAAATTAAGATTTAATTACTATTGTTACAGAGGAATGCTATTTATATCAAATTATATTTTATGTAATAGAAAAAAAACATTTTAATGAGGCTCAGCCCAAAACAAACTACATATTTTTATTACAACGCAGAACAGCACCTTAAACATACATTTAACAGTTTCTTGCACAGCAAGAAACATCAGATTAAATATTTAAGGACTAATATTTACCTTTATACATAATACTGACACATATCAATAGTATTTTTATAAAAGAGAGAGACATCTAATTGCATATATCCATATATATTATAGGTAGAACATGTATTTTTATCACAATCTGCTGTGGCCAGATATACTCTGAAATATATAAAATAGCAAAAGAAAATCACAAGAGGACCTAGTAGGGATTATTTAAAAGTAATTTTTGTTTGTTTTAGTTTTTTTTTTTACATTTAAATGTTGTTTTTGATAACTCTGGTGAAGTTCTTCATTGCCTGTGTTATGCAAACTACTTTTATACAGATATGATTCTAGAGAAATTAGGCTCAATGGACTACTTCTTTAACCCCTTAAGGACACAACTTCTGGAATAAAAGGGAATCACAACGGAATATTTATGTCATGTGTCCTTAAGGGGTTAATTATAAAAGAAGTCGGATTGACCATAAAATATTAAGAAAAAAAAACAAAACAGGCACATTTCGCCTTGACAGAATTCTTCATTCTTATTTCTAAGTAATGGTTGGAATGTCAGCTCCTCAGTATGGGTTTAGTATCGGAAATAATTCAGAGAGAGACACAGGGGTGCTGAATAGTCAGAGAGGAACAAGAGAAAGAGGAGTAAATATTAAGTTCATAGGTTGGTCAGTGGTTCCCCAAAAAGTACTTAAGGCACTCCTACCAGTCCAAGATTTAGGGATTACCCAGTTGTGTCTAAGGTTTCTTTTAATTAGAAAAAAAAATCTTAAACACACCTGAATAATCCCTAAATCTTGGACTGGTAGGGATGCCTTAAGACTGGTTTGAGGACCACTGGGCTATGTAGCAAAACTACTCTATGTAAATGAGACAACTTCATCTCTAAGTGCTGATCCTGCTTATCAGAATAAACTAAACAAAATAAACAGAATTTCAAAATTAATCTAAGATCATGTGCATACAGCCTTAATATGAAATTATAAACTTCTTCTTAATCCTTGCTATTGGGGTAATAACACAATGTTGTTTGGTCCATGGGAAGAACATTCAACACTTGCACATTTGGGGTCATGTTTATGTATAGCAGGACAGTTATGCAAGTGTTGCAGTTTTATACCAGTTTGGCATTTATGGTGCTATGAAACCTGTTGGTTATTTTGTAAGTGTTGCTTTTTTGTGCCTAATCATTATTTTTCATCTATTTTTCTTTTCTTTAGAAGCTATGGATTTGTCAATCTTTCCATTCTTTCTTCTAGAAAAGTGGTCTATTTTACTTTTTTTCCAGCCGCTATCTAGTTGGCAATTTTTTCTGTAATTACAATTCCTGTTAAAAATGGGGGAATTTAGGCAGATAAAATATTATGGTTTTTAGACTTTTTTTAAAATTATAGTATTAATAAATACAGATTAGAGATCAAAAGCAACACTCTTTTCAGAACACTTTGATAAATCTTCCCAAAGAATGTTAAGATGTATTTTTTCCCGAAACTATGAAGGAGTGGGATCTGGTCACAAAGTGCAAAATATTTTGGTGGATATCTATATAAGAATGATTTTATGCAAGTGTAAGGCCATGGATTAATTACAGGGTGAAAAATGGGTGAAGGGCAAGAAGAAGAGGACAACTACAACTGTTTGTAGTATGTAATTGCTATGGGAGTAATTCAGAGAGGGATGACTTAGTGAAGCAAAGGTAGATACATGACTATATGTTTTAAATGCCACAGGCATGTCAACTAAATGGCTACAAAGACTGTTTGAAATTATATTGAGCACAGTGAACACACAACATTTTGAGTTGCTGACTTGGAATAGACTGCTGGAGTAAGCTTGGGAGAATAGAAGCAGAATGGCTGCTGCCATAACTGCTTTAACACTGCCTAATAATTAAAATGGAGTCTCACTGTTTCAGCACTCCTTGTTTGGCAAGAGCTGTCTGTGTATATCTGATCTGCTTAGTGTTCCAGAATGGAGTGAAAACATTGTATATACTTCACAATTTACCGTATATAGCTGAAGTGCTGGTGAAAACGAACAACATGTATGAATTAAATCAAGGCTGAAAGTCACACTATATGCTCTTTCTATAAAAACATTTTTATCTAGCATACTAATACCTCTTAGCTAGGTAGGCATACATGGCATATTACTAAGGCAAGTCATAAAAAACTTTGGAGTTTCAAATTAAGTTGCTAAGAATGTACACATAACTTCATCCACTTAATACACAAATATACTTTTATATGTCCCCATGGACTACATCTCTTTATGAAGCAATACTTTATACTAAAGTGAAGAACTTACAAATAGTTAAAAGGGTAGTCTTATCATCACTACTCCATAGTGGTTATGGTGCTATTTGGATGTGAGCACCATCCCCATGTTAAGCGTCAAACTGTTTTTGAGAGGTTGGATTAAACAAATAGTCCCCAAAACAACGGGGGCCTGCATGTCTTCTGCTATTGCAAAAGATCCACATATATAAATCAGCAACAAAATATGCCCATGGCAGCTGATGGGCTCTGCTTCTCAATACCATCCGAGTATGGACAAAGTTGATAGTGCTAATGTGGAGGTAGAACTTTTGTATTAGCAATAAATGAGCGAGAAGAAAGCTGACCACAAATCACCTGTTTTGGTCAAACTTTTAAGAATTGGTTTCACTTAGGACATAGGGGATGTAGCCTACAGCCTAATAGCATCATGTAACGATTATGTTGCTTACAAAGTCCCATTACAATAGGCACATTTTCCTAATTGAAAGCAATTATAAAATAAATATTAAACAATTATAACAGCTATACCAAACATGTATGTTCTTTTATACATAAAATACTATATATGTTTATTTTATTCACTGCCCTGACCATCACAACATTAAAGATCCAATAAATGTACATAACGTCATCAATGAATCATCAATGTCATATATATATATATATATATATATATATATATAGTAGCCTACAGAATGTGCATTTAAATATACTGAAGAATTGCTTCTGTGTTCATAATGAGTTGGTGCTCTACAAATATTGACTTATGGAGACAGTCTGACCTCCCTTTACTTTTTACCTAATTGCCTAGTATATTTATTATTTCAGATAATTTAGGGAAAATTGATCACATTACCATCAATCTTTTATTACATGCTAATAAAGTCTCTGCTATGTGTGTAGACCTGGTATTCTTTGATCACAGAAACATTTTTTTTATGTTTACTCCTGAATCTTTCTCCTGTATGCCTCCCTGATTTTGAAGATTTACAGAAATATGACATTGTATTAGACAAGTTGTACATTTTATAGGACACATTATATGTTTTTTTTCTTGATACACATACTTTGCAATATGTATTGGTTGACTTACACAACCTTGCTATTTTTACCTATTAGTATTCTATTCCAGCCAATTACTTTGTGCCTTTGAAGCAGTAAATAATTGTATACAGCTGTGCTTCTGTGTAACTAAATTTTGTAGTATGTTTTATGCTAGATCTGCAGAACAATGGACCTCCAGATGTATTAGACTATAATGCCCTTTGATAGTCACAAAGAAAGCAGGTGTCTGATTCATGTACATTGGAAATGCATAGGAATAGCAATGGTTACTTTGCATGTGTTATGGATTTCCAGATATGTTGACACTAATTAAATTATTGATTATGGTGATAATATGAACATGTGTTATAGTATCCAGCAAAATGTGTACAATATTGTGCAAGCTACAAGGCACTCTTAAAATGAAGATCCTGGCATCACAAATCCAAATTTCAAATATTACGATGCCAGCAACTGACAAAAATAAAGTAAATAACCTCCTTATTCCCCATAACTTCTTTTTCACATCTGGCTTCCAAGCTATGTGCAATTGTTGCCTATATGTTAATGTAATAAAAATAAAAGTAAGAGAAAAAACTTAAACAAGAAAATAGCATACTGCTTTAAGTAATATTAGGATAAACATATATGTAGTTAAGAGAAAGCAAGGCATTTCAGTTGACTTACCAAGCTTGATAAAATATGGGAGTACTTGCACACAATACAGCAAATAATTAGTTGAAGGTATGAGAATTCTTTAAAGTCATTAGATCTGAAAACAAAGAACAGAACGGCAGCCCCAGTCCCTATCATTAAACTTTGGTGAAGGTCAATTATTTTGTCTCAGATGACTAGCAAAAATTTTCACAATAGCCTTTTCTTTTAGATCACTAAGGTAGTACATTAAAATAATAGTTGTGTTTTCCAACACATGATTCATTTAGATTTAGTCCATGTTTACAGTATTTTGTGTGAATGAGTTGCATATTTATTCTGAATGCACATTTTTATGGTCACACTGTAGCTTTCATCCAGTATATAGAATGCTATTTTAAGAAGGCAGACAATAACAGTACTTAATCTAAAAGAGTATATTTCTTGTCTATTTTTGTACGCAATTTGTTTATTGAAAAATCTTAAACAATATTTAGATCACTTACAACACTGACTTTTTTCTGTGTTGTAATGTTACACATCTCATTGCCACTTTTATATGCCCCCTTTTTTTGCAATAGACATTTTCCACCCATAATAGAAAGTTACAATGTAATTATGAAAGTTGCATTTGTTCCCTTTTTGTCTGAATGCATAAATTATATAGATATCATTATCTATACTGCACAGCAAGCCTGTCAAACTCAAAGGCTAACAAGGGCCAAATAAACAAGGTTTAAATTTATGTGGCCCGCAAAAAAATAAAACTTCAGTTTTCATAGAAACATAGGTTTCTTTAGAAAAGTTAAGTATAAAAAAGTTGCCTAATTGTCACTGGACATCCTCATACTCGTAGGGCTTCAAAGTAAGCTAAAGAGCACATTTATTTTAAGGCGACCTGCATTTGCATATAACCAATGTTTCAGTCCAGCTACCTTTACATAGTTAGAAAAGTTTGGTAATGGGACTGAAATGGTGAAAGTATGCTGTTGCACAGCTGTAAAAAACAAATGACGTTATCTTGTTGATTTTGAAGTCCTATGAGTGTGTTCTTCACTTTGGCTGAGATCATTAAAATTCCCTATCGGAAAACATTGGGAGGCTATTGTCCATGTGTTGCAAAAAGCTGCGCGGCCAATCAGCATCTCCACAGCATCTCTAATACACTGCCCCCATCTAATACACTGCCCACAAATCCAATACATTTCCACAAATCCAATCTAATACACTGCCCCTTAATATAATACACTGCCCATCCTCCTTCCGCTCTAATTGAATACACTGCCCCTCCTCCCAGCACTCTAATTTAATATACTGCCCCCTCCTTCCTCCAAATTACTACATTGCCCTCCCACAATCTAGCACACTGCTCCCTCCCACCTCACTAATACACTGCCCCCTCACTCCCCAAATTAATACATTGCCTTCCCCAAAATGTAACACACTGCCTCCCCTCCCACCACTCTAATACACTGCCCCACTCCCTCCCTTAATTGAATACACTGGCCCCAACCCTCCCCCAAATTAATACAGTGCCCCCTTCCTAAAATTAATACACTGCCCATTCCCTCCCCCAATTTAATACACTGCCCCCTTTCTCAAATGAATACACTGTCCTACCCTCCCCAATTTAGCACACTACACAGGAAGGTCCTCCAAGCCTCTCTTCCCCTACCTTAAGATGAGCTGAGTCCTCCAGTTCCAGCTCTTCTCTGCTCAAGCAGACCAGACACTCTTTTGGCACTGCGAGCAGGAGGGAAAGGGTAGTGGCTGGCCTGCGGAAGCAGACAATCGACCGTGAAGGGAAGACAAAAATCAAACAGGAAATATCTTTCCTTTCTTGCGGCTGGTCGCAGCCACAACACAAAGTGGTAAAACAAAAAGGAGGAAGAGTCTGCGCTAATTCAATTAAGCAGCAACCCTAAAAGGGAAATCCCTCACGAAACCCTTATGTAAAAAATGCAAGAAAAAAGGGGGGTCAAGGGCTGCGCTTGGGTAAAAAAATTAAAAGTGTATAAAATCGTATATTAATAAAATAAACAGTGATAATAAAATCAAATAAAGTTCATCCGGATTTGTGAAAAGTATAAATAAAAATTATAAAATAAAAACAGTCTCACTGGTATGCAGTACCACGATAATCCTCAAGTATGGCTCCGTCCGTGTAGTAGGTAGTCCATATATGTGAAGATAAAAAACAAAAGAAAAAGCTACCAATGGTGAAATATTGTATATCCTGATGTGGTATATATTCAAAGGAAATATATTTCACTCACATTTGGTGGAGCTTTTTGCCAGCTCTGGGAGAAGAGACACTTAGTGGTTTGATCCCCACTAATGGATATGCTCGGATGGTCCGTGTGTCCAGCTTGGAATTCCTGTGGTATCGGCTAGGATCTACTTCAGATATGCGTTAATTCCTTAATGCTTGGAAGATAGGTCCGCAAGAATAGAGCAGATAGGTACTGCTCTATTGCCACAGCGCTGGTGGAATTATCCCCACCTAAGGATTTCTTTGGACGGAATATACTTTCAAGTTAAAAATAAATAAAAATAAAAATAAAAAAGGGATGGATAAAACTATAAAATAGTTTGTGATAATACAAAAAAAAATATATATAAAAAATTATTATATATAAAATGCCAGGGGTAAAAGAAAGTGTATAAAATACAATAAAAATAAGTATACAATTGGTCCTAGTATAAAAGGTAACCAAAAATAACTTTTATTGATTAAAATACACTTATTAAAACCATTTACGCGTTTCACCTTTGGGGTTTTCTCAAAATGGTAAAAGAACAGTACACCCCAAAGGTAAAACTCGTAAATGGTTTTAATAAGTGTATTTTAATCAATAAAAGTTATTTTTGGTTACCTTTTATACTAGGACCAATTGTATACTTATTTTTATTGTATTTTATACACTTTCTTTTACCCCTGGCATTTTATATATAATAATTTTTTATATATATTTTTTTTGTATTATCACAAACTATTTTATAGTTTTATCCATCCCTTTTTTATTTTTATTTTTATTTATTTTAAACTTGAAAGTATATTCCGTCCAAAGAAATCCTTAGGTGGGGATAATTCCACCAGCGCTGTGGCAATAGAGCAGTACCTATCTGCTCTATTCTTGCGGACCTATCTTCCAAGCATTAAGGAATTAACGCATATCTGAAGTAGATCCTAGCCGATACCACAGGAATTCCAAGCCGGACACACGGACCATCCGAGCATATCCGTTAGTGGGGATCAAACCACTAAGTGTCTCTTCTCCCAGAGCTGGCAAAAAGCTCCACCAAATGTGAGTGAAATATATTTCCTTTGAATATATACCACATCAGGATATACAATATTTCGCCATTGGTAGCTTTTTCTTTTGTTTTTTATCTTCACATATATGGACTACCTACTACACGGACGGAGCCATACTTGAGGATTATTATCGTGGTACTGCATACCAGTGAGACTGTTTTTATTTTATAATTTTTATTTATACTTTTCACAAATCCGGATGAACATTATTTGATTTTATTATCACTGTTTATTTTATTAATATACGATTTTATACACTTTTAATTTTTTTACCCAAGCGCAGCCCTTGACCCCCCTTTTTACAACACAGAGTGGGCCCAGGGAAGGTGGGCTGCAAACATATCCATTGTGGGCCGCATGCGAATACGCAAGTTTGACATGCTTGCTGTAAAGGCGATAAAATTAAAACATATCATATAGGTAAACGTATCCCAGGCAGCCGAATAGCAGTTTCCTATTGTCTCTTATGATATCCGAAACGATTATCTCACTTAAGCCCTTAGTGTTAGAAAGAAAACATTCTTTATAAATACCCCCTATGTATAGCCAGTATATTAAATAGTGATTCACTTTTGAAGAATTATGATATAGTGATTGCAGAAACAGTTTTAAAGAGCAAACTGTCTTGTAAAAGTTGTATTTAAAAATGGGAATTAATCATATCACACCTTTGCTGAGAATATTGTTAAAAAAAATGTCCCTGTAGATCACAGTATTTGTAGCTATTTAGGAGACAGTCTGGAGAATTTTTTTTTGATGTTTTTTAAGAATAATCGGTGACAGATATGTGACATTTTTCCTATTTTTCAGCCTTAATGAAATATGCATCTTAGTTGAGTTTTGTTTTAAAAAAGAACTGTCACGCTAGAAAAAATAAATAAATAGATAACTAAAATTCAGCTCTTAGTAGTCTTAATTTAAAAAAGAATCCATTAAAAAAAAAATTACATCAAATGCAAAGGTGTTTTTGACAATCGTAGGATTCCCAGGATTTCCTATGCATGGCCAATGAATGTGTATGTATACACAAGTAATCAAGAGAAAATGCACAAAATACATATGTCTGCATGACACTAATCAAATATTTTAGCGATAACCTGGATGTACAATAGGGGTAAGTTTAGTCAGCCTGTCTCCATTACATATTCTATCTCAATGTGTCAGATCCTCTTTAATGTCCTGAATAGTAAGTAGACACAGAGGAAGAAAAACATTTATAAATTCAGAGAGTTGAGAGATTGCTTGGTACATGGCCACGAGGCAACATATGTAAATTAATAATTCTATATTGCAGTAGTCCTGTAGGATATGGCTCCATATAATTTTATAAAGAGTTTTCTATTCGCTAAACCAAGTGTTATTTTTATATGACAAGTGACTTGCAAAACATAGCATGGCACAGTCGAAAAAAATTCTCTAAATTCACTTGTTTCCCAGTTTGTTCATTGGACCCTAAATTAAATTAGTTGTCAACTTAAAGCAAATCATTTGAAATAAAGATACTGTTTAGGTAAATCATTTGGATTAAAAATAATATGGTATACATTGCTATCTGTTGTATTTTGACAAGATATAATACCAATAACAGATACATTGCAGTAATTATTTTGTGGCCCGCTAAGTATATTTATATTATAAGCAATGTTTGTTTTTGTTTTTTTTTGTGTTTTGTTTAGCGGAAGTTAAAAAGTGAATGAAACACAGTGTAAAATGTAGGTTCATTGAATTGGATGAACCCTCGAGCAGCATAAAATAATCCATGTAAATATGTTTTTGTTTTTTCTTATTTTTTTAGGCAACAAAATGTTCAAGTATAGTCAGGATATATGTCAGCACACATTTACATACCACAGTCCATCCAACATGAACTCAACAGTTAAGACAACATGCCCATAAATAAAAAAAAATAAAAAAAATGTGAAACAGCAAAACTTGACCATCAAGTAAGAATAAGACATACACAATCACTAGGATAATAGCAATCATTCTTCTATAACTTCATTATGTTGTAACTATGGTGTTTTGTATGTCAATACAATTTTGTGTATCCACTTTGCATAAAATGCCACTCTCACAAAAATAACTGGGCGATTTGGGATGGCGCAGCCACGACCCGGAATAATCACTCCCTGCATTAGATCTGTTCTGTTTTCTTCACACACTAGAGGGCCACCGTAATCTCGCTATTAAAACAAGAATAAAGAATACGAATTAGGAATTTAATGGACAGCACTGTATATTAATATTATGATTATACATCAATTTCTGAAATGGATTCCTAAAATCTTGCAAAGCTTTACATTTTGTTAAACACTTACTTTTGAACACAATATCAGTATCATTAAGAATAACTGATTAAGGTAGTTATAAAGAAAACTAGGTCACTGTATTTTTATACTTAAAGAGTAACTCCAACCATTATAATCACTACAGCCCGCTGTAATGGTTATGATATAAGAAGTACACTGGCACTGTTCTCAGTAATGGGGAAAACCATTAGGTAATGGTTTGCACTCTAACCTGGTTCCCCGCTGGGTGCTGGGACACTGCTGCAGTGCTTACAAAATAAGACTTCTACAGAGCCGCAGAAGTCATGTGCCAATCCTGCCGCAAATTGAGTGGCTGAGAACATCAGCTGACCACTCTGAGCCAATGAATGTGCATGCAAATATGCACAGAATTGACATTGGCCATACCAGAATGGCTGCACATACAGACTCCAGACACCATGACCACTTCACACTGCTGACGCAGACATGGTGCTTGGAGTATCCATTTAATATAAAACAATACCATTTTTTTTTTCAATTGTAGTATTTCTGAGAATATTATTAACTAATTTGAAAACTAGTTTGGTTTAGTGAGTAGTGTGTAAAAAAAATATATGTTTATTTTTTGTTTGAGCTCAAGAATTTGACTTGATGCTTCTTCCTATATGTTGATTAAAGCAACAAAAAAGCAGGAGAGATGCATGTACAGGGGACTGATTTGGCTTTGAGGTGTTTAACTTGGGAGGGATGTAGCTGTGATAGAAGGAGGTTGTATTGAGCTGGAAGAAAGAAATTGAGAGCAATAAGTATGACACTTATCATTTGAGGGAATATGGGAGGGGTATGCAGATTAAACAAATGTCCCATAAACACAGGAAATATATCTGGGAAGTAATAACTGGATGCATATTGTGGGGAGACTAACTCTGAATAACTCTCTAGTGAGATGAACCGCATAAAGGGCCCTTGGGATACAATGGAAGAATAGGACAATAGGTGATTTATTAAGAGGGAACTCAAATAAGAATATAAACTGAAACTATATTCAATAATTGGTTTAATGCAGGGGAATGCAAAGAGATGTGAAATCAAGAGAATATTTTATAGACATGCAATTTGCACTCTCATGCATATGACAAAGTACATAAATAGCATGAGCTCTAGGCAGATTAAGTCACATGGAATACAAGATGGATTTTAGAGAAACATGGCAGTGCCATTAAGGGAGGACATCAAGTAAGCATGTAGCTAATCTAACCACCGGCTGCTGATGCAAGTTGATATGTCACATGTCCACTTTTCTAAAGGTTTATCAAAACACATGCATAAACATGAGTTTGCGAGATTATACTTTTCCAGTTTACATTAGGTGCCAGGTCATGCCAGGCCATGTTAACGTAGCTGTGCATTCAAAACAAATCCAGAAATTAAATAGACAATTTTCTCAAACAAAAACAAAA